GTGATTTTGCATGTTTTGGCCCATTAACTACTTACTGCATTTACTTTATTGCTGACCTTTTCCAAAGAACACTGTAAATTTTTTGATTGATTCCCTACCGTCTAGCCCTGGGCAGCCATTAGTCTCAGTTCTTTGAGAACAGCATAAATACAAACTTGCAGAGACTTGAGACGTACTTTAGATTGGTGATTCATCAATGTGAACATTTAGTCAGCTTTATTTTTTTGGTCAAAGTTATGCTACTGGTTAATGCAGTTGAAGAATTAGTCTGCACCTCGCATTTATAGTCTCAGCTGCATTAATGAGCAACTATTACATAATTTTGAGAAAACAATTGGTGGCATCTATTGGTGTAGTTGTAGAATGCAACTCCCTCACATCACCCTCCCCTTCCAAGCACAAGGGAGAAACTATGGTGGCCGTAAAATGTGCGGAAAATGGCGGCCTCCATCTGCTGCCTCTGTAAGGCTCATTCTAAGCTAACAATAACAAACCTATTTTTATTTTCTCGTGAAAAACATTGAAATGATTGTTTCCAACAAATCTTAATGTTTTTATTGCAGAGTCTCTGACATGGACTGGACATTTGGTCAATATAAGGACAATGCATCACCTGGCCCAGGGAGACATCTTCTCCGCCAGTCGCCGACTCAGACAGAATCCTGCTCCTCCTGTAGCAAACCAGAACTGCACTTCCCTCTGAGTGATAAAACACACACACATACAGATATTAACACATTCATGTACGTGCATACAAAGAAACTGGAACAAAGGTCCGATCCCTAGTCTTGATGAACGAATTGCAGTGCATCAAAAACAAACATCTTCCTTATTCATTTCAATGAGAGCACTGTTCTGCCACAGACAGGGCCAACTAGTGTCCTCTTCCAAAGTGGAAGCTAGTTAGCCAAGCTTGGTAGCTCCCACTTTCCGACTGGAATTCTTTCTGCACTCTTTTTCTTAACATTTTTATAATTTCCTTTATTTGCAGTCTTTCTTTTCCCATTATCTTGTTGTTTGTGCCTCCTTCCCATTCCTCCTCCTCCATTTGATTTCTTACTTATGCTTTTCATTCTTACAGATCTTGATCTGCTACTTCCTTCCTTTTTTCTGTTAAAGTCCATTCATTTCCTAGGTCCTTTCAAATGTTGAATGTTATAAATTCTATTATAACTATTCATTATTATAACAGTACAAAACCAACGCTATGTGGGTTTTCTGAAAAGGAATGTTGCCATGCGAATCACCCACCAAGAGGATTGAGGCTTAGATGCAGTTTTGCATGCATTTAAATGTGTCCAAAAACCTCTTCTGAAAATTTAGAATAGCTTTTGTATCATCATAGTCAAATAAATGCTAAATTCAGTTTGCCTAACTTTTAAGTAAAGAGCTTTAACCTTTAACTTCTTTCCTGAAAAGGGTTTGTTTGCTCCCTTTGTCTACTTTTCAGTCCTGTTTAACCCTCACACACATAGAGACGCACACCAGCAGACACACACACACATCTACAGTATAATGTGCCACTATTTTTATACAGAAATAAAGAAATGTTGTTTTTACTAACCCACACCCATAGAAATAGTAAGAATATCTGGCAAACTGATGCAGCATCTTTCCCTGTGACAGACAAACATTGTCTGTAATAGATTAAAAAATACAGAGGAGAAAAGTGGCTCTATCAGTGACCCTAATAATAAAGTGTAATACTTCTCTTCCCCTCTCCTCTCAGGTTTACCTTCAGACTTGTATTGATTGTTCAGTCTTTTCCAAACCAGCCTGATATGAATTGCGTGTCTTTATCTGATAACTCTCTCCCATTTCTCAAGCTGCTATGTTTTCTTTTTATTTCCTGCAGGATAAACTGTTGAGGTGATATTTTACAGGTGGAATGTATTTTTCTCGTGATTTGTTTGTGCGTTAGTCACAGGAGTGAGATTAGGAGTTTAGAGCAGGCAGTAATTACAGAACAGACGACTAGACTGTGTTTTTTCTTTCTTTTACTTTCCTTTGAATATGCTGTATTCCTTCTGCCTTAATTTCCTTTCCTTTCATCTTTCTTTATTCTGTTCAAACATTTTCTTCAGTGTTGGTCTTTCTTTCAATTACTTGTTTGATTGTCTTTTCTCCTTTTCCTTCCTTTCCTTTTGTTATCCTTTCATTCACTTCTCTATGTTTCCTGTCTCTTCGCTGTGTTTTCCTTTCTGTAGTTGTTCTACAAATTCAAAGTTCTGTAAATGGTTTAAAATAACCAAACCGTATCGTACTTCCAGGCCAGGTACCCGGGATGAAGTGACTGAGGGGGAATATAATGTATATTTACCATGCAGTAGTGTCAGAAAGGCTAAATAACAACAAAATAGGGCTACTGATTCAAAATCAAAGAATACATTTATTCATCAGAGCACTCACATATGGATGTCGCACAAATGTAAATATTTTATTAATTTCTGAACAATTCACTGTTAAAATCAGCAGGGGGAGATGTACACAAACAGCTGTTTGCAACATCCAGCTCTCTCTCCCTCTCTCTCTCTCTCTCTCTTTCATTGACCGTCCCATTCACTTCCCGCCGTTTCCCTTCTGTCTATGGATTCTTACAATGGGGGTAAATGGAATTAGGGTTGAAAGTTTGGTTTACAACCACCTAAAGCGAGCATACGTAGAAACCAAACTAAGTGGTCGCGTTCTGTCTGTCTCTCTGTCTGTCTCAGGACCATGGTGCCAGACAGCGCGACCATATAGTCACATGTATCTCTGCCAGTAATTTTGTTGTTTTTCCTATTTTTACAGACCCATGAAGCTTAAACAGAGGGGGCAAAAAATAAAATTGAGGGCCACCTTAAGACCCCTCGTGGCTCAGAGCCTGTGTATCACATTTGATTATTTTCTTCTTTTATTTCTTTTTTATTAACTTCCATACAAACAAAACTGCCTCTCATTCTTCTCCCTCATCTTGGGCTGGTTGGGATGCCTTCAGCCAGCTTAGAGGTCACGTGATGATCCAGCTCTGATTTGATACATTGACTACCCTGAATATATAGCAGACACATTGCACATTATATACCATCACATCACCAAACCTTATCCCTTTCTGTCCTCTTTTTCTTCCCATTCCTTTTCTTAACATTTCCTTTCCTCGCATTCTTTCTTTTCCCATTACCTTGTTGTTCATTCATTCTCCTCCATTTGATTTCTTTTTTATCCATATTTACAGATCTTGATCTGCTACTTCCTTCCTTTTTGTGTTAAAGGCCATTCATTTTCTTTCCTTAAATTTCCTTTCCTCCCTGTCATTTCTCCCTTTTCATACCACTGCATTTCCTTTGACTCTTTCTCTTTCTCTTTCTCTTTCATTTCCTGTTCTTTCCATTCCTTTGCTGTCTTTTCCTCCTTCCCCCTCTCATCCCCCCTCAGCCTCACAATAGTGACAGGAAATCGAAAAATGTAAGAAAAAGAGACGAGGAGACAGAGAGAAGCCTGACATGCGTTTTTGTTTTCTCCTTCACCAATCCAATCTCAGCAAAGGATGGAGAAAAAAATAAAAGGGGAAAAAAAGAGAAAAGTGAGAGCAATTGGAACAGAAGGAAGAAGGAAGGGAAGACTGAGAAAAAGAGTTAGGAGGCAAAGATAAATAAAGATCTATTTTCTAGTGTAAATGGGTGCAATCAGATGGGAGAATGTGACACGAGGGAGACGGAGAGAGTAATTTCAAGGAATGAGCGAGAGAGATTGAAAAGTTCAGGGAGAGGAGGGAGGGGGAGACATGCTATTCAGAGAGCTTGCTGGAATCAGGATGCACTTTAACTCAATAGGAGCATTAATTCTACTGTAAAGCATGTGAACTCAATGACACACGCACACACCTGTGAATAGCTGCTTGTGTTCCAAAAACAAACTATCGACCTCCTGCAGTTTGACAACCTCCTTCCCCCGGGGAGTCTTTTCTCATTAGTGTGTGTGCTTGTGTGTGTGTGTGTGTGTGTGTTTTACCACCAATCAATATCCCAATATCCCAACAAAATACTAATCACTCATTGATTCACTTGGGTTAAAATCCTTCCCATATGAACAAAAGCCCCAAAGCTATATCTTTCCTGTACTTCCATCTAAACATACATACATACATCCCCGGCTGCATCCTCCCCTCAGGTCCTTTCAGTGGTGATAGGAGTCAAAATGGAAAGTGTAAGTTTAGACTGGGAGAGCATGGATTTTGAATGTCACTGGTAAACTTTGCTTGGCTGCGTTTTTGGCACAAAACCAATAAAAGGAGACCTTATCTTTCACAGTTCATTAGTGTCATTGGAGGAGCATTAAAGCAGGGCATTAAAAAGACGGGAAAGAAAAAAGGAAGGGAGGTGGGAGGTGGGAAAGAAGGAAAAAAGGAAGGAAACAACAGACAGAGAAACAAACTGATCGATTTTAATTGTTTTCCCAATATGGGTGTCTTTTCGGTAGTTCTGGCCATCATTGTTATCAGATATGATAACATTTGTGTAAACTGTACAGAGACAAAATGGCACTAACTATTTAGAAGTCTAACATGTAATTCAATTTTACAACAAAAGCACAATATGTTCAATCATGTGACTTATGTAACATTTTAAAGGTCCAGTGTGAAGGATTTTGTGGCATCAAGTGGTGTAGTTGCAGATTGCAACTCAATTGTTTTTGGTTTTTCCGTTTCGGGCTACTGTAGTACTGTTCAACATCCTCCATGGTGTCTGTAGATACAAATTTTTTTACGATTTTGTTAGGAATGACGGGGTGGAAGAGTTAAAAAATTAAATTCAATGTGTAGCAATGAGTGGCAGCAGTTAACCTGCCCACAGGCTACAGGGAACGACTTTAGTTTGGTTTGAGTGTTTATTTATTTCCACGGTGCAGCATCAAGGAAGAGCAAACAAAAAAAGGGAAGGAAGAATGCAAACACACAAGTAGATAGAGAAAAGTAGCAACAGAGGAATTCATGAGAATCAATGAGTGAATATTATTGCAGGTCTGTCTAGGTGGGATAGGAGAAAATAAGAGTCAGTGAAGAGAAATAAAGAATGAATAAATTCAAGATGGGAAAGAGGTAAAGAGGTAAAGAACCGCAGGAGGCAGGACAGCAAGAAAAAATAAATCTGTGGAGTTATGTTAAAGACAGTAATGTATCACAGAGGGGTCACCCTGCCTTAAGGAGTTTTCGGTCCATATAAATTAAATTCTGTCAGGGGAGCTTTAGTGTCCTGTGGTGTAAATGCTGTTTCCAGTCCTGCCAAGAGAAAATGCTCTGGAGAAACTTGAGAACATGTTTTTTTTTTGCACATCTGAACTGTTGAATACCATCAAAAATAGTTCTTGAAACAGTGACTCACCAATCCCTGATCTTTAAAAATGCAGTGTGAAATATGAATCTGAAGTCATGTGTCTGTATGAGAATACATCTTTTTTCACTGAATTACCTCACCACATATAAAACATGTAGTGCTTTTTATAATATGCAGCTATGATTCACCATGTATGATGTCCCTTATGCAAAACATCTTACCTTTCTCCTGACTAGCCATTGCTGTTTGTCTGTAAGTTGTGCTGAATATGATACTATGACCAAAACATCCATCTTTTTTTTTTGTTAATGTGCATTTCTAATTTCCTATTAGATGAGATGTAAAAACATGCCATTCTAAAAATCACACGTTGAACTGTTTCGCATTATAAAACCATTTGAAAGAGTGTTTGTTTGTTTAATATGAGAGTAGCAATGGAAATCTAAAACGTCCTGTGTAAGTGTGTAATGTGGTAGAAGAATGGTGGTGAGAATAGCACTGGGACCAGCGTTAGTGTTCACTCTTTCTACCGCGCCGGTCACGGTGCGTCCATGCGCGGCAG